GCCGGGCCTGGGGGGCGGCGCTGCTCCCGCGCCCCTCTGGGACCCCCACTCGCACCCCCATCCTCGGAGCGCCTCCGTGTCTGCCTTTCCAGCCGGAGGCCTGACAAAGAGGACGTGCAGCTGCCTGCTGCCTGCTGCCTGCTGCCTGCGGGGCGTCGGGGCCCCAGCTCCCGGGGCTTTCCTAGCCATCGAGAATGCGCTTGCGGACGCCCCCAGAGCCGTCCTCCGGGCTTAAAGGAAAAGGCTCCGTCCGCCTATTTTCTGAACCTAACAGCAGGCCTGGCTCGTTGGGGAGGGGGGGAACTATTGAAGCTCCCCCACTTTATTTACCACCGATGGGGTTTTGGGGGTCCCCCTCCCCTACCTTTTTTTCCTTGACAGGCTTGGAAATGTCGCCTGGTTTTGTTTATCTCTACTATAAAAACTCGACTGTGTTCTGGCAGTCTAAATTTAGATACAAAGCCAGGCAGTATTCATTCTCCGGGTGTCAAAGGGGACAGGAAACACATAGCTTCTCTGGAATTTGAAAGGGGAAGTAGTAGGATGATGTCAACCGCGATTAGCTTGACCCTACAAGGCTGACTGCTGTGGAGATTAAAAGGTCCAGGCCATAGAAGGAAGTGAGGGGTGGTAAATGGAGAAGTCCCATTCAAAGAGTCAGACATCAGTTCTGCCCTCTCCCCTGATTCAGTCGCTCTTCCCTTTGGCTTCTTTTCCTGGGTGAGCCAGATTTCCACGGAAAGACATTGATAGAGCACCCTAGGCATTTTTAGAGGAACTATTACATCTTGAGAAACTGCTGTCACGGTATCCAGATCTATTAACACAGCTTTTTAAAATGTTATTAGGGCTGTACATTTAACTCAAGGTTAAAGAAACTTTCAATCTCTGTGAATGTTAAATTACCATCATAGTCATATGTAATCCTGATAGTTTCAAATGAAATGCTAACATACTCAGAAAATCTGTGTACACCATCTGCTAAACAAATCCAAAATACTGTGCTTCAATATGGTGACTCTCAAAAGATGCAAAACTAATAGATAGTTCACATTTTATGTATCATGTCAGGAATTTTGTAGTCCCACTCCTACACACATACACACTCTATATACGCACATACACACACTTTTTCTTCTAGTATACCTGGTGAAACTGCAACAGGATAGCTTTTGCCAAGAACTTACAGCTCTTAAACCAGCAGGCTTCATCCTTGTCAAACCAGCCTCAAATTTCACAAAACTCTAATGGCTTCCCTCAGTGTATCTGCAACCCATTGGTAGTTTGGTGCCCAGTTTGCCACCCAAAGTTTTATCTGACAACGGAATTACCCATTAGATAATTACCCATCATTGCTGTTCATTTATGGATTCATTGTTCGAGGTACTGGTGTCCTGAACCTCTGTGCTGATAAACCTCAATCTGAGATTCAATACTAGCATAGTCTACCAAAAATATACTCCATTTGGGAAATGGAAAAGCTATTACTAAGCACACGGCTGGAAACATATTTTTATACACTTAGATATTGTAGGAAAGTATTACACTGTTAACAAAGAAGTTCTTTGTAATCATCTCCATGCAAATAATTGTGAACTTGTCCAACTTTTAACAAAATAGCTTCTTAGCCAGCCATGTGGCTCAAGCTATCTACTCAATAACCTGAGTATCAGGATGATCTGAGGATCTGAGTTCAAAGCCATTCCAGACAGAAAAGTCTTATTTCCAATTATTCAGCAAAAAGCTGAAGTGGAGGTGTGCCTTTAGTGGTAGAATGCAGGCCTTGATCAGAAAAGTTAAGGGACAGCACTCATGCCCTGAGTTCAAGCTCCAGTGCCAGCATAAATAAAGAAAAATAAATAAAAGTAGCTTCTTGTTAGAAAGATTATTTTACTTACTATTTTCTGAGCTACATGTTATAAATGCCTAATATGTAAACACTTAGCAATTATTGTAGAGGTCTATATACAGTTTAGAACTGAAAAATAGAAAATACAGAGAAATATGGAAGATAGAAGATTGTTGAGAGGATAGGAATCATTTGTCTACATTATTTGCTTACATTTTCACTGTGTTCCAAAATATAATTAACTAGTTTTAATCAAATTTCCTCTGTCAATTCAAGAAGTATCTCTACTTGAAATCCTGTATATTCATCAAACTGTGTATGAATAAAACTTGTCTCATCTCTTCCACCATCCCACACCTTTAATCCATACAATCCTCTCCTTTATTTATTTATTTTTTTTGGTCAGTCATGGGGCCTGAACTCAGGGCCTGGGCACTGTGCCTGAGCTTCTTTTGCTCAAGGCTAGCACTCTACCACTTGAGCCACAGCGCCACTTCTGGCCTTTTCTGTGTATGTGGACTTCATGCATGCTAGACAAACACAACCACTAAGGCACATTCCCAGCCCTTTATTTTCTGTTTCTATTAGTGACCTCACCACCTTCAGAGAATCCCCAGTTAGAAACTTGCAATGCATTCTGAGTCCTCTCATTTTTTTCATCGAGGCATCTAACCAATCCTGTCAAACCCTTTCTCTCATTAACACTAGTTTTATTGCCTTAATTCAGCATCAATCATCCCTCTCATTCCTACTTCATTACTTGGTAACCAATTTATCTCATGCCTTAACCCTCTAATTGAGATCTTTTTCCCCCCCGTGTTTGTGTGTGTGTGTGTGTGTGTGTGTGTGCAAGCATGTGCACATATGCTAGTACTAGGGAGGGGGAATAAACTCAGGGCTTGGGCACTGTTTCTTAACTCTTTTCCAGTGTTTTTTCTTTCTTTCTTTCCTTTTTTTTCTGGTCGGTTGTGGGGCTTAAACTCTTGGACACTGCCCTTCAGCTCAAGGCAAGCGCTCTACCGCAAGAGCCACAGCGCCACTTCCTGTTTCTTAACTCTTTTGCTCAAGGCTAGTGTTCTACCACTTAAACTACATTTCCACTTCTGGCTATTTGCTAGTTAATTGTAAATAAGATTCTCATGGGCTTTCATGCGTGCCCAGGCTGGCTTTGAACCGTAATCCTCAGATCTCAGCTCCCTGAGTAGCTAGATTACAGGAGTAAGACATTGGCGCCAAGCTAATTGAGATCTTTCTAAATCTAAAATCTTTGCACTAAAATTTTTCAATAAGCATTTGGTTTGTGTCTCTAAATTGTGGTTTCCCAATTAATGTCTTGAAAACTTAACCCCCAATGCAACAGTGTTGAGAGGTAGGACCTAAGGGGAAATATCTAGGCCATGAGGGTTGAACCTTCACAAATGGATTCATGCTGTTTATAAAAGGGCTTGAGTCCTCAAGTTACACACAGCAAGAAGGCACTTGCCAGATTCCAATCTCTTGATCATGGACATTTCAGCCTCCAAAACATGAGTCAATACATTATTAGGCATTATCTAGTCTATCTATGGCTATAGCAACCATGAAGTGGACTAAGACTGGCTCTACCCTAAATGATTAAACTCAGGACTCAGCCTGGGATGCAAACTACTGGTGACCTAGTGCTTACCTAGCAACTCATTCAGCATGTACTCAGCTAACATTGTACTACTTATCCGACTTGTATGTAGCATGTGGTTTCACATCCCAATGGACGGGCCATGGTCTTCTTTTGTTATTCCTGTAATACTTTGTCTTTCTGATATTGGCTCCTGTGCTAACCTGGAGGACAGAGAAGTCCCAATTGCAGCAGACATAGTAAAATGATGGCTGAATAAATGAATAAAAATACTTAAGTCACCCATTTGGTATCCTACCAGCACTAAATCTTTCATTTGATAAAAAAAAAAAATCTATCCCCTTATTCACAAATATAGTGTGTCCATCCTATAATTATCTATAACACCATGCTTCGGTATTTTATTAACTCACACTTTCAAAAATATATGTGAATAAGGTGTGCACATAGTATTGTCAACTGTATGTCAGGCACCATCCTAGATGCTCAATTTAGTGAGCCAGTGTTGAGAATTAATCAGTTTTCTATTTCAATTATTAACTTGAAGGTCTATTTGCTTTTGCAAATGAACAGTACAAGAACAGCAGGAAACAAATAGCATGTTATTTTCTAGCCCTTTGTAAGTTAAAAAAAAAAGAGTATGTTTTATAGATATGAGGTGCAGGGAGAAAGAACCCTAAGTTTTTCCCCCATAGGTGCTAGGACTACTCCTGAAGTTTTTCATTTAATTCTCCTTACAATAACTCTAGAAAGTGCTCTTAAGAACGTTAATACA